CGAGCAGGTACCCCGGGGACTTACCACAGCAAAACCTTAAACCAAAGCGGCTGGAGGTCGCTTAGTTGTACAGGTTACGTTATTGTTTCAAGGAAGAAAGCGAAAGTGTTTCCCGAGTAAAACGCAGGCGGTTTGAGGCATCTGGCCTTTACCTCATAAAATTGGTGATTTTTTAAGTCGCTCATATGCACTTCGAGGCCAGTTCGTGTGTGGCTAACGTAATCCAGTTACACGCAAAAAGCTACTGATTGAAGAACGCAGCTTTAAAGAAGCCTTGCAGGTGGTTAATCGCGGCCAAGGAGACCCCGCAAGCACAACAACAACAATCCTTGCAACCAGTGCCTGAATGCAGTTTCTAAGGATTCGCCGGTTTCAACGACATAACAGTTTGGAACTTCACGCGCTTAACCTACGTAGAGACAAGGTGCTTGTCGCACTTTGCCGTCTTCAAGCCAGAAGATGGCTTACACCAGCTTTTTGTGTGGAGGCGGTAGACATACAAGGACTAAATGCAAATTTTGAAAAGCCATATGTAGCAGCTGTGATGTAAGGGGGCACTGATTTCCAGTGTCTGTAAGAAGAGCACAGTAAAGTGAACGCTCTGAGTGTTGAATTATCCTTGTCTTGGGAAGAAGAGCTGCCAACACGGTGGAATGATGTGGCAGACTGATTTGGACTGCTTTGAGAATGCGTGACAGTATCCTCTGAAAAATGTCTGGGCATAAAACACTGCGTACTGCAGACGGTTTCACTCTCATGTCCTTTTAGCTAGTGGTTTTAGCTCTCATATCTATAACGCTTGAAGCCTGACTTTGTCAATTAAAAAAATGTTGCTTGCCGTTGTGCCGTTTACGGTTTTCTCTTTAATGTACGTCTCGGTGGAAGGGTCCCAACTAGAGGTTCCAACCAAGAAACACCCAGGGTTCAGTTCAGGGTTCGGTTACAATCCGAAATTTATAATCACTCTTATACTACTACATGAGGAATTTCTGCAATTTGATTGGCTTAGAGCGGTGGTATTTCAGCTCACTGTGGGAACCGTCACCAAAATGAGTAAAGCATAGAAAATATCAGCTCAAATAGTTAAAAGAAAAGAGGGTATAAATGACACAGCAAATACAAAAGGAAGCACGGATGGACAAACTTGAAGAATATTGTAACGGATTGCAATTAAGGTTTTTGGAAACTTGTTACTATATTTCCTTTATGCTTGTAACGATATATTAAGCTTGGTTGTATTTGTTTTACACAAAGCTGTCATTCACAAGTTATTTCTTTCTTAAGTATAATTAAGTTTCATAGCGAAAAAGGACGCGTAACTGGCACTGTGAACAAAATGAGCAAGATCACAGTGGAGGCACGAAACAGGCACGGAAATTTATCGTCATGGATGACAACAGACCACCTTATTAAAAAATTTATACTATTTATAATAACGAGACAGTCACAAAAACATATAAGAGGACTTTTGAAAAGATTTGTATGGCCTTGTATTTTTTATAACATAATTATGCCAATAATTATATATGTAAACTGAATTCTTGCAGAGTATTTCCTGGGGTGACTTTATTTTTATCGTTGTAAATTCCCAAATAGTCCCTGTGGCAAAATTTGATATAATTTGTGAGAGGCGCCTGAGCACCAAAATGTTACACCAATCAAAAATCAAGCGTGGTAATCCATCATTTTTTTCATTTTAATTAATCCTTTTGGCACAAAAATTAACATAGACAAAGAATAAGCAAATTCTCAATTTTGGAAATATGTGAAAAAATAGGGAAAATGTCATCTGAAAACATAATTTTTACTTTGGGTTTGGTAACCATAAACGTTGCTCAATATCCAAGAGTGCCTACCACAATGGTTTTTTGGGTTCTTTAATGTATCTCTGAATGTTAATTTTGGCTTTACAATTCAAGAAACTATAGTCAAACGACTGAGCATAAATTGGCAACAAATACTCTAAGATGGGGGTATTCGCACCCATCATATCTCAGTAGTTAGCATGGAGACCCCCATTTTTTATTTCACTTCTGCAGTCTACATGTATTAAATTTGTCAAAGAGAAAGTTTGACAAAAATCTCAGCAGACAAGGTCTGTTTATGTGTTTGGCTGCTCTACTGTGTCAATAGTTTTGCCGATTCTCGAATGGAGGTGCGAAGATATCGACGCATGGAACAGAAGATTTTTTTTCACTGGCACATCACTTCTGTTGAATGCACAAAGAAGGAGGATTTAATCCGTCGCGATTCCATGTATTCGCGAATCGTACAAATGAAGCAGCCAAACACATAAGCTTATAAATCTGTCGTCTTCCTCGAGATTTATCACTAAAGCGATCTGGATCGCGGATACCTTGATGTAAAAAAACAACATCTAGAAAATACATATAGGAATTTCCTAAACGCTCACCTCGTTTATAAGCTGCTTACTAGTAAACTCTGAAAATTTACCCGACCTCCCTCAATCTCGTCCACGTGCGTTTTGCTTGATGTCTTCGCACGGGAGTGAATACCCCAGATATTATAATACGAAATCAATCGACTGCACATGCTTCAGTTCTTACATCCGAACAAATTTTGCCTTTTTCCCGCTTTTTTAACAGAATAGTGTGCTGTCTCGCCTAGGGTTCGCCAGCAAATACATGAAAAACAACCTCGATTATCGATATATTCGTTATACAGTACCGTGCAAAAGAAATGAGAGCGAACTTCGCCGAAATTCCGCGAAATTCGCGAATTTTTGCGAACAAATTGCGAACTTTCCTTTCAGACGGAAATTCGGCGAAATTTCGGCGCATCTATTGTTCGAGTCCCTGCGAAATTTCGGAAGCTACATGTATAAAGGTTTCATGCACTGTCCAGTGAAACTATCAGTTAACGAAGCAAAATTGGTTTGTGCGTCAGGAACTGGGCCACTATTCAACAGGTTTTGATTTTAACATTTGCCTTCGGGCCCGAAAATCTACCGGACCTTTCGAGGAACGGGGCCCTGGATCCGAAACCGTTTACTCCTTCTTTCGTTATTGTCATGCAAAGCATGGGAGTTTGGGATCAACGGTGTTTCGTTACATTAACGCTGAAAAAGAGTTCTTTAAACTCCTTTTTGGAGTTAAAATAACTCTCCCAAAAATAACTACACTGTAAGGAGTTTACTTAACCCCACTAGAGGAGTTATTATAACTCCTTGAAAATTACTGTGTATAATAACTATTTTAAAGATAACTATTAGAAACGTCTGGAGAGGAATTAACTCTGGGCTTGGGAATGAATCCTAAGCCACAACAATGGGTTTCGCTTTGGCGACTTGCGATCGGCTTATGTGAACGCAAGGTAGCCCTCGAGCAGCGGGGGAGGTTTACTTTGGGTCAGTGTTGTCCAGTAGACCAGCAAGGGAGCCCAGGGTGTTGATTTTGAACAGTGCTTGCCCATTCGCTTCGGCGCAAGTCGAATCGTGCTTCGAGTTGTCGAAATAATGACAACAAGGATCGCTAGATAGAGGAAACATGTATAAGATCTTTGATCTCCGTTACATTCGGGGAGGCAACACTAGGTCGCACCACACAGCTCATATCAGCTATATATTCTGAAGTCTTTGAAGGCGTGACAAAAGGCCTGATTGTTGCCTTAAATTAGCAAAGGCTTTTGTTCAGGCTTTGCTCCGATTGCACTTTTCGGACGCATAAATCAGAACCTGTATGCGTTATGAACGCTTACAAAAGAATGCTTACTGGTAAAGGCTTAGACCTACATATACACAGTAATTTTCAAGGAGTTATAATAACTCCTCCAGTGGGGCTAATTTAACTCGTTATAGTGGAGTTATGTTTTGGGGAGTTATCTTAACTCCAAAAAGGAGTTTAAGGAACTCTTTTTCAGGAGTAAAAGTGACCCCAGATATTGAAGAGTTAAAATAACCCCAAAAAAGGAGTTTTCCTGTACCTAAATTTTTTACTCCACTTTCAGAGTTAAATTAACTCCAAAAAGAGTAAAAACAACCCATGTAGGGAGTAAAAATAACCCCATTTCGGAGTTATTTTAACTCCAGACTGGGAGTAAAAAGAACTCTTTTTCAGGAGTAAAAATGACCCCAAATTCGGAGTTAAATTAGGAGTTAAAGTAACCCCCAAAAAGTGGTTATCCTGTACCTAAAATTTTTACTCCATGTTTTCAGTTATAATAACTCCCTAAAAATTACGGTGTATTTCGTTTTAAAAGTGCTACAGGTTTGGTATCTCCCCCATGGTGGTGAATCTGTAGATGGAGAACATCGAACGATGCGCCTTTAAGGTACCACGCCATCGATTGAGAGTTTTGGTAAAGATAATGGTACAGACACCTCTACCTTGATCCACCAATATTGAATCCGATTAATTGACCAAACATTTAAACAGTTTCAATCCACACATAAAATTTCATAGGGAAGTTGAAGACGGGGAAGGGGTGCTGGGCAACTATCCTTCCAAGGCATTAAGACGGTAGTTTACATTGTATAGGAAGAAAGAGCCACTTGAAAAAGGATTTGAATTTTTACTCGAGCTGTCTTCCATATTACAAACAAACAGTTGTACGTAACTCGTTAAACCGTGCCGATAAAACACCAATACGAGGTAAATGAGGTTCTACTCACTAATGGGTCAAGTTACACGATGTTTTTCAAGATTCCATAGAAGTCCTATGGAATAACTTTTACCAGGAAAAATCGCTTACAGGTAAATTCCTTCCATGAAATTACCCTTCCCAGGCAACAAATAAGTCATGAAATAAACACTCTTTATAGCTCATGTACAACACCTTCTTGTCCCTCCTGGTCCATCGTAACGACAAAACTAGTAGTGCTAAGGCTAACTGTGGTAAGTGATTTTACTATTCAATTCTATCAGCAATAAAGCTTCTGATCTGTGATAAAGCGACTTGAAGTTCCAAATGTGAAGCTTCTCCGAAGGAAAAATTTTCACACGTTAGTTGCTGGGTCCCTTAAAGTTATTTGCCGCACGGTTTCAAACGAGCACTTCATAATAAACCTCCAGTTCATTTGGGCGAAAATTATCTCCCCTTTGTATTCCAGCCCAGACACGATAGTCGCAATATGGACTGAGGTAAGACTTGCAATCATCAAAGTCAGAATTATAATTGTATCCTGCGTTGTCTGCAATTGTAAAATCATAGCTCCTACCAAAGGTTGGACCATAGTCGTACTGACTGTATGTGGCGTAGCTATATTCGCCTTGGCTTATGTCCTTTTTAAAATATCCATAACCGTAGTAATTTTTCAGTGAGTATATAAAGGCGTTTGTCGAATATTGATAACCAGCAGACCCTGAAGAGACAAAAACAGAACACAAACAGTGACAGGGTGGTGGTTTAATTAAATCACTAAGAGCAGACTTCATGTATTTGTATTTGACTAAGAAATTATTGTCAATGTAAAAGGCAATTTTCTTTCATGATTTTGGGCTATTTCTAACAAATTAAACGACGGCGAATATAATTCAGTCAGGCCATTCTTGTAGCAATCAAACGAGAATCCAAGAATCGTAAAGAGTTTACATGCTTTTCGAAATGTGCGTAATCTGGGATTCCGTTGGTCTAAATCATATGTTGAGCCTTATGCAGCGATTTCGTTGATAAGAAATTTTACGCAACCATCGTCCGGTTACTTCCTATACATTCAACGTTAATAAATTCCAAGTCGAAAAAGATTTCAAAACGGCCAAACTGAATTCTAAAGTGCCTGAAGCCTGACCGTAATCCCCTCTATGAAGCCGCCACCCAAACACCACAACCGCACCCACCCCCACCCCACTTCCCAAACCCTCTCTCTGACTCTTATAAATCCATTAATAAGATGAAGAAAGGTTTTATCCACTTGGTTTAACCAGGAGGTCATAGGTTTCACTTCGGACTTTTATTCCGAGTGGCCTGTGCTACTGACAGGATAATTGTCCGATTCTGATTTATTTATTAGGGTTACAATTTACCATCGCCTTTACTTCACTGTGAGCATTAACCCAGTCTAGTGACTCGAGCTCTCACGATTCTCCAGGTTAAATTGTACGACTTGTTTTTCCACCTAGTACGTTTCTAGACCCACTCCGTCTGCCAGGGTGACGTCACATAGTAACGGGCAATAGCCTCAGGTCGCTTGTACAAATTAGCAAGGGATACCACAGTTATTAGGACGAGCGAGGTCGAGGAAAAGCTAAGAAGCTAGCAAATATCGCGATGTATCGCTAATTTGATCGAATGGGTGTGAGCTTTGGTGTGGCTATAATCTGCTTGTGTAAACCGTTTTGATATTTTGTGTCCGTAAATGTATAATTTTGTTAATTTGTTTTGCGGGTCCTGTTGCCGGTTTCACGGGACCGTCAAGGTCATCAAACCTTTTTCTCTAAAATAGGCAAGATCTAGTCTCCAGAACCGGAGGTTCCATTCACAGATCCCACATGTTTATATTTTATCTATTGTTTCTTACTAATTAAACCGGCCTAACTTCATATACATCCTTTCGAGTGTAGGCCTCTGTTGATCTCCTAATTCTCCACCAAATTCAGTAAAGCTAGATCGGCCCGTTGAACCCGAAATAATGCGAAATAGGGACTTTAAGATCCAACGACGCGACGGCGACAAGAACGTCGCTTAAAAGGTGAATTTGCGTTCTTTCAGTCTTTATAGCGATTATTCCTAACCACTTACTTTGTCAAATATGGGCGAACCCTCCTGAAGCTGAATTTCAAGGGACATATTCAAGCTCGGAAAGAGAAAAAAATTTCGTTGTTGCTTGTTTACGTCCTCTATAAAACGCGAAATTAGGCATTTTCACGTCGTAGTCGTGCAAAAACGGGAAAGAAATGTACAAAAAAGTGTGATGCACGTGCGAAGTTGTTGTTTTGCTTATTAAACCAATTGTTTTTTTGACGTTCTCGCTGTCGTCCGCGTCGTTGGATCCTCCATTCCCCAATAGCTTTGAAATACGCGCTTTAGCTAATTTTCCTCAAATGTATATTTGTATTTATGACAAATACAGCTCCACCAGCTCCAAACAGCGTCTATGGCAGAGAAAACTTGTTTTGATATAAACACCAATGAAATACCAGGTGAGCTTTCGCGTGAAAACATGATATCTTTACACGTGAAAAGATCACTGTTGGTATGGCCACATAATAAATCGAGCCTTTCGTTGCAAAAAATATTTAGGTGAAATGATTTGGCATTTTGGCATTTTATTGGTGTTTATATAATAAATAGAACATTACATGGCCATTTGGAGATACGAAATTTCTCTTCGAGTGTTGAAAAATATTTCATGAGTGAGCGCACAATGTAAAGTATAATAAATCCTTTGATGAGCCTCCTATTGCTGTGTGTAATTTCCTCAATCTTGCTGTGCACTGGCCCCCAAAACTGTGACCGGTCGGTATGATTGCCCGTAAAATTTGCTCGACGATAGCAAGGAATCTTTAAAATTCAAGGCTCAAGTTCAAGTTCAAGTTTATTAAAAACACTTTGGATGCATGCCATAATTGATCCTTCAGATCCTTGCCCGCAAAGTAGCCATAGCTAATCGAGGTGGGAAGGATAATAAAAAAGTTACAATAATAGGGTTGAAACTAACGATAAAGTTAAACAGATACAGATACACGAACATCAACATATTGAATTAACTAGACATGTTCAGTGAATGCATATATTTCAAAATAGGTAGATGAAACACTGTATGAATATAATTAACCTGAAAATTAAATTTAATATTTACCAAATACGTCAATTAATTACGCGCGCCAACGTAAGTATCTTCTTGTATCAAAATATCCAGTAGCCGACTCTGTGGGGTTTTCTTAAATTTATATTTAGGTAGAGCACGATCGCTGTCGGGAATACTATTCAGGGGTGACCCAACGTCAATTTTCGGAAAATATCTGTTCGGTAGACAATTTGAGATCTAGAATTTTCGGAACATTTGTTTTAAAATTTCTTTCTTGCCTGCCTCTCCTAGGATTTTCGAACATCTAAAAACAGGTATAATTGCCAACTTTTAACGGAATTTTACTCTAAAAAGCTCACTTAGAATTTTCGGGAGCCTTTCCCCTGGCTCAAAGGTGAGTTTTGATCCATATAATTTTCGGATCACTAGACTCTCAGCTAGGAAATCCGAACAGATGAAAAATTTTTAGGGGATAAAAATATGCCTATATCTACCGTTTAAATACTAAAATACGTTCAACAATGCTATGGTTAAGTGGTTTTGAACTATGTTTTCGTTGGGTGCCCCTGACTATTCCATATGTTTGCACCAATTCTTGAAAAGGAGTTCTTCATTTGGTTCTTTCTCGAGTGCTTAATATAAAAATTGCCAGCCGCAGAAAATCGTGTATCATTGTAATGTACTTTTGAAGAATAAGTAAATAAGTTGGAAACGTTTGGAGGTGTTACATTACTGAGACCATCGTGCATAACAAGGCAGATTGTTTTAAAATAAAGAAAAGACATAAGACAATTTGAACCAGCGTGGAACCTAAACGGTTTTAAATGAATTAATCGAAGTCCCGTTTTTGAAGAATCAAAATTTTCTCTATACCATAGGGCAAGTAAGGTTCTACAAGAGAACGATATATGTTTAATAAAGTGGAAGAAAGGACAAAATACCTTAGTCTTGCAAGGATGCCTAATGATTGGCTGATTTTGGTAGAAATATATGTAATATGATGCGTCCAAGATAACTTTGAATCAGGGACACAAAGGTATCTTAAAATTCTTTCCTTTCCGAGGAAACAAGAGAGTTTGCGCTGTAACAAGAGGTTTTGATGTTTACATCGTAATCAATACGTTTTTGATATAGGGTGTGAAAATAAAGAAATTTGATTTTTTTTGTTTGCCATGAGCCAGTTGTTTATACTCCTTTGCTTCTCATTAACTGTAACATTAACTAACCTAAAATTTATTACACCACTGGACGTTTCATTCCAAAAAAGTTCTTAAGTTTAGTTTTCTATAACAATCTAAAATCTCCAAATCCAGGAAATCGAAACAGTAAAAATCGGAATAAAAATTTAATCCGTCCCCTCGATGAACACTTTGCTCGCCATTTTGAAAGTCACTGACGCGAGACGTGACGTAATACTGGCAGGCCGGCTGAACCACCGATTTCCTTGGCCTTGGAGACACCTTCCCCACCTGCCTGCAATGTAAATCTTCCGGTCAGGCGACTGAGTCCTGGAATTTTCCGGCACGTTGCACGTTAAAAGACTCCTGAATACTGTACCACTTTAAACACTTGTCACAGCTCGTTAACGACTTTTCCTAAAAATGCTACAAAAACTGATGTTGCGACTTGAGAGAAGATTGTCAGGTTGCGAGAATTTAGTCAGCCTCCTATACGCAGATGTCTTTTGACGTAGACCTCACAATCCTCTCCAGCGAGAGATATGGCAACTCGTTAAAGAGGTAAGAGGTTTTGAAAAAGTTGTTTTAAACTACTGGAGAAAATTGCAGAGGCCCCACCCATCCTCCCTTGTACACTGGGGTGATGGGGGCAGGGGGCCGGGAGAGGGCGGGTGATGACTTGAATTTCAACCAGTAGAAACCCTCTTAGTATACTTTCATATTTCCAGACTTACATTTCCAAGAATTGTCGTTGTAGCCTCCAAAAATATAGATCCCGACCCTAATAATGGTTACAGTAGGACCCTTGTTATCGCAATAATTGTGAAAGGTCCGTGATCTCCAACCATGAATGGAAGCTCTATAACACAGTTTCCAGTAACTTCTGTCAGGACTTTGCAAGTGTGGAAGAAGCCAGGTGTTTAACTGTGATATCATGCTAGCATCGTTCCCTAAAATAACGGAATCACCGAGGCCACCTAGTATAAAGAAAGTAAGTCAGAAATTCATACTTTCAAAGTTGCTTTATTTTCAAAAACTGGCAACGACTCCAGTTTAGCTGTACGTACTTAAAGAAAAATCAGTGAAAAAATCAGCCTGAAATACGCTCAAAATTAAAGAACCCAAGAAAGTCAGAAGCAACCAACAAAATAAACAAGCAAATCTCGCTTTAAGCGCATTTGAAATTTCAGTATTATAGTATATTCTTCGACAAAAAAAATAGGCAGGAGTTGTTATTTGGCGACATAATTATTGGCGGATAAAGCTTTTTCCATAAACTAGAAATGAACAGTTGTCAAAGTGGTCACACTCGATATAAAAACGAGAAACGAATGGAACAAACTGAAGTAGAACATATAGTTCGGCTTACGATGAGGAGTGCATGTTTTCCCGTCACCAATGGAATGCGCATTCACGTCGCACTTGCAAGTAAATGACCCTTCTGTGTTAGTGCAGATTGCATTGGAGTCGCAGTCATGGGCGTTGAACGAGCATTCATCAACATCTGGAAGAAAATGAAACTTTTATTTGTTTTAAGCTGGACCTTCTTTTTTGTACACGAACGTCATAGTCATGGGAGTGAACTTTCCAAGGCCTAAAAAAGAACAGTACTGTGGTAGACCACTGAGAGGAGATGGCTTTTTAATTCTATGACTGTAAGTAGCGCAGTGACGGATTCAGATTAGCAAGTAGGTGGAGGGTCCGGTAGAGAAAATGATTTTACTCAACCCTACGGGCTTCAGCGTTTGGCCTAAAAATAAGGAGGGGGCACGGGTCGCCCCCATCTAATCCCCCAATGTGTAAGTGAACGACATCACAAAAGAAGAGGAAGAACAACAACAACAACAACGGGAACAAGAACAAGACAAGAAATTTTATTTATCCGTAGGGTGGAAACATTACTACCATTGGGTAGTTCTTATAATTAAATATAATGGCCCTTTCACTACAGCCATTAGTAAAAAAAAATATAACAGAGAGATTATGATTCAAGTTTACCACAAACGGCTAAAGTTGAGAATTTCCCAGAATAGAAAATAAGCAGACAGACAGTTCCGGACTATTCCTATGGTTAAAACTGGCATAAAAATACTTATTTTTGTGTAGAAGCAGTAAAGAGTAAACTGAAAATATGGGGGATACTTGGTCACGTGGTAGAAATTCACGTCTGCCGATTGGCGTAAACGGGAATCTTAATCTCTCTAATAAAGAAATTCTACAACTGCTATAAACTTGTAACAAGATCTGAAAACCGTAAAATGTTCTATCGAGGCGTTGTACTTGGTAAACCTATCCGGTTGTGCTTTTCTGAACATTGTGTGGGAAACTATGTCTCTATACGGGTGGCCTTAATTTATTTCATGGGCGACAAGTACTTGAGGGAAACTTCCTAAAGCCTGGTTTCCATATGATCGTCCCGATCGTCCGAGTCGTCTCAAAAAATGTTCAGACGATCGGGACGATCATATGGAAACGCTACCCAGACGATCGCAAACGACCCGGACGACTGAGACGACCTCGATCGCTCGGATAGAGTTGAGTTCTATCCGGACGATCGGGACGATCATGTAAATTTTGAAGCGATCATATGGAAACGCTCTCAGACGACTGACACGATCGGGACGACCGAAGGCTGTCCCAGAAGTCATCACTTTTAACTCCGGTAATCGAGAATAAATTCGGCCCGGATGGCGCTGAAGCCAAAAAAATAATACGCAAATGTTCGCAGCGCGTATGGGGGTTATTTGAAATTAGAGAAAGTCCGTGACATCAAGTTTTCGAAGAATACTATGTCTTCGGGGAACTCTTCTAGCTTCTCAACGCCGCAAAATCAAGAGAAAAAGCAGATACCAAGGTACGAGGTTCGCTTTACGAATAAAAATCATCCATTTATGTGGCTTGTATGCAAAACACGCGCAAAAATTCTATTGTCTGACCCAGACATCGCTGACGACCAAGCGTGTCTTGCCTTTGAGGCGATCGAGACGATCATATGGGAACTACCAATCGCCCCAGTCGTCTGGATCGTCTCGAAATATTTTGAAACGACTGGGGCGATCGGGACGATCCGGACGATCCGGACGATCATATGAAAACCAGGCTTAAGTCCTGATTTTCTTTGACAGAGTGGTTTGACAGAGTTGTTATGGGCGGCGGATCTAATCAGACCATGACCATGTGAAGAATGGACATGTTTGAAATAGGGCGTGAAATAATTAGGAAGATCTTGAATCACTTTGTGTGGCATGAGAGGATTTCTTTTACGTATGATGACACCTATCGGCAGCCAACCTAGTTAATCAAAAAGTTTTACAGAGCTGTCGTTTATAGCATTAATTATTTATTCAAATACTCGTACCTCGACAGGTTCGTCCATCCCCCGTGAAGCCGCTGTTACATGTGCAGGTGTAGGATCCATCTGTATTATAACATGTCGCACTGCTGTCACACTGGTGACCTGAAGAACATTCGTCGATATCTGAAGCAAAAAAAATTATCCCCGAAAGATTAAGCTTGCATAACTGGATCTAACAAGCGTCCCCGCTCGGGTTTGTTGACAAAGTTGTAACCAGAGCGGAAAGCTACGCAGTCTATGAGAGGTTAGATTTTGAAATTGTAGGGAAATCCACGTACGTACTTTAATTCCCTTTTGGGGCTGTATTTAAAACTTTAGTATGGTCTGTATTTCTACAAGTTATAAAATTAGGATAGTTAATAAACTTCATTGCTCAGGGTTGTTCATAGAGATTAGGTTAATGTCCAAATTTTGCAATCTCTGAAATTGGAATAAAAAAGTTTCTGAGATCTCCCTCCTAATTTGTGCCAGCCTATGTTTAAACGCTTATTTTTCTACTATAATACGCTGCTCCGTATTTAAACCCCTCTAAAGAGCTATTTGAAAAAGAAATTTTCAGGCAATTTTACGGTAAAAGCATGCTTATTCTACCTTAGAAATTCGCTTCATGAATTAAACGAAAAACTGCAACTTGGGGCTTCGAACATAATACCTCTGCAAAGCAAGCCATCACCGGCATATCCAACGGAGCAGCGGCAGCTATAGGAGCCAATAGTGTTTGTGCAGATGGCGTTCTGATGACAATGGTTATTGTTTCCTCCACATTCATCAAAATCTAATTAAAAACGAATATAAAACAATCGCTTAGTCAATCAACCCGCAAAACAAATAATGAAACGATCGATTGTCAATCAACTTTTTTAAAAAAGCAGTGCTAAATTCAGTGCTAAAAGCGCCAGCTTATGGATCCTTTTTGTGACTTCTAATTTTCTTTTTCGTACAAGTAGTGCCTATTTTTCTTTGTAGACTAATCCTGTAATTTATACTATTTCTGCAACAAACAGATTTAAGGTAAACTCAAACTTTTTGTCAGCTAAGAAACCAGAGAAATGGGCCATTTGCACGACGACGCCTTTTTACTACTGGGACCAGAATTCAGAATTCATTTCGTTTTTCTTTCATATTTAAATTTGCTAATCCTGGTGAGGTTTGAATAACAAAAGCCATAATTTTCATAAGAAAGCAATACCCTGAAGGATTCTGGGTAGTGGAGAAATGACGTCATCGTGTAAATGGCCTATTTTTGGTTTTCATATGACGTCACTAAAATACAAACTACAAAACTGTCAATCCTACCGAGATTTTACTTTCACGATGTATTAGAGCAGCTGAAAGCTCATTTTCATACAAATTTTCGGTTCAAAAGGGTTCTTGGTTTTGTGATAAAGTACCCTTGAATTCCTAAGCTTTTGCGTGACCCAGCATTTACATGACGGCCAAGAGAGCTGTCATGTAGCTAGGCTAAAAAAATGACTTATTTCAAGGAGTTTTGTCATGTAAACAGTTCATGTATTAGAAAAAGTATTACTTTAATGTTTATTAGTTCCTCGAAGAATAAATTCAAGCTTTAATAGCAAAACTCGCAAACAGATGTTTCTGTTGGTTTCCGTCCGCCGTGTTGGTGCCCATCCGTTTGGGCACCAGCATGGCGTCTCCATATGAATCTCTATAAATCTGGGTAAAACATTTCTTCGGATATCTCGTATACGAAATATTCCTATGAACTGAATCTTGGCGAGGGTCTTTGCATATTTACCTCCTTTCATTTCCCAGATTTATCTATTGAACGGTTTTCATTTTTATTTTGATCTATTTTGAACACCGTGACACTGAAAATCAGCAATTGGTTATCGAGGTGTAAATACCAATGTATTCATGTCACATAAAGATCTGAACTATCTCTCAGATATGTTAAACTTGGAGATGGACAAACTGTCAATCTGGTTTAAAGCAAACAAGCTTTCTCTAAATCTTAAAAAGACTAAATTTATGATCTTCAAACCAAGACAAAAGCGTTCAATTTGTAATATTCAAATAAGTATAGATAATCAAAATATTGTTAAAGTAAAGGAGACAAATTTTCTAGGCGTAATTTTGGATGAAAACCTAAATTGGAAGTCGGAAATATCTCACGTTGCAAGTAAAGTTGCGAAGTCAATCGGTATAATATCTAGATGCAGCTTCTTTCTTCCTAAATCGTCTTTACGTATGCTCTACTATTCCTTAATTTATCCTTATTTTTACTACTGCAATATCGTTTGGGCTTCGACCTATAAAACTAATCTCCGCCGCCTTGTTATCCTGCAAAAAAAGCGCATTATTAGAATTATTAATAAATCACATTTTAATGCTCATACTGACCCCATCTTTAAGGACCTCGGTATACTAAAATTTAATGATATCCATTTGCTTCAACTGGGCCAATTTATGTATACTTGCAAAATTCATTCTTACCTCCAAAGTTTAATAACAATTTCTCTCAAAGCAATCAATTCCACTCTTACAATACAAGAAATTCCCAGGCCTACCGTCTACCGTATTGTCGTACAAACACGAAGAAGTTCTCGCCCTTTTTTCAAGGGCCTAAGTTTTTTAATTCACTTGACAACAAGATCATCAACTCTCAATCCCTCTCCTCTTTTAAGAAAAAACTGAAGATTAAATTATTGAGTAAGTATGAAAACAGTTTATAAATCTTTCCATCTTCGACTTTTCGCCTTCTTCTCTTCAATTGATGTGAAACAGCTCTAGCTCATAGTTCGAGGAGGCCTAACCTCTCATAAGCTCCTATAGTTTCTGTTAGGTCTCCTCGCCACTTCTTTTTTTTTTTTTCTTCTTCTTCTTTTCCTATATTTTTTGTAATTAGTGTGGCAAATAAAATAAAATAAATAAATAAATTGGTGAAAGTCAATTAGGATCTTCTCTGGCAATAAGAAAGGAAGAAAATACAATTGAAATAGATAAAAATAACTCTTAATGCCTGGAAACGTTAATATAGACCATTTTCGATTTATGAAAACCCACATTTTCAAAATGAGGTCAAGCGAAAACCCTTTAATGAGGAAGTAGTTTTATAATCACTTTTCGGAAATTGCTTTTAAATAGGAACTAATGAATAATAGGAACAGAATAGGAACTAGTGAATGATAATAATAAATCAGTATCAATAATAATAAATAATAATAATAATAAATCAGTATAATCAGTATAACATTATCTTGCATGTCCTTGGGGGCTATTCGAAAGAGGTTGAGCAAAATATAAAAGACCTTGCAGGAGACAAGTGTTAATCAATTATGCGCAAAATGCAAAAGGCAATCCTGTCTAGTTCATTACACATTGCTAGAATGTTCAAGCTGAGCGCTTAGATATCTATAGGAATTTTGGACACCTATTTTAACAGGAACTTAATTTTGTATCCCATAACTAAATGGACAGCTATATGAACGATGGTTTTTAACTTATAAACATTTTTATTTTGTAATTAAGAGGCCCATAAAGCCTGTAGCATTTATTTATTTTTTATGACACTTTTATCAAATCGTTTTTACCCAGGTTTTTTTTTTTTCGCAAATTATTGTGTAATTGTTACCACAAAAGTTTGTACTGCCAGTAATAGTAACGCCTGTTGGTATATAAGAGGTAAGTCAACCACAAACCTTCTGAACAGGTGTAGTTATGGCAAGTACCACAGTTTACATCATTCCACATAAAACTATGTCTGACTCCCAAAGTGTGAACGCAATCTTCATTGTTGAAGTTGTTTGGTTGGTTCTTCGCCCAATATGAAAAGTTACTGGTTTGATTATCTGCCCAGTCAAAAGCACCCTCAATTACCCTATCGTTTAGACCAATCCAGCCCTTTGCACCATTCAGCCGATGCTGAATATAGACGTTTTCTTCTTGATTTCGCACAGTGATGAGGTTGCCGCTGTATGCTTGGCAGGTTTTCTCAGCTTCGGTCCAATTTTTGCAAGAATGGCTTGTCGAGTAACAAATACCATTAAAATATGACCAGCCCGGTTTACATACATCTGCAATATACAAAACATTTTGTGTGAAGTAAATAGTGCGTAATAAAGAGAAAAAAAGGCCTAGGCCAAACGTCGAACTTTTCATGAGACGAACTAAACTTAGTGAATTAAGTTCATGAAACGTTGTTAGCGACGCCTGGCTCAGTTAAGTTCGTCTGAATGAGTTTGGATCGTCCAACACGTTCAGACGGACAGAGCGTCCGAAGATCGTCTCCGGGACAAACGTCGATCTTCACATGTGAGGAACTAAACTAATAAATTTTAAAAAAATTGTTCGATATAAATGTATTTAAAATCGTTCGGGAGAAAATAATTTTATTACTGATCTGATTCAGTTGATTGGTTCCACGCGTCCTATAAAGTTAACTTAAGTTAGGTCGACTCAAATTACAGTTTGGTTCGTTCCATGAAAACTTCGACGTTTGGCTTAGGCCTTAGCTGACCGAGAAGTTTTTGGAAATAGAAACAAATGCTTGTAGTAAGTAGGAACTAAGAAAATACATTTACTGGTGATTACTTAAAGGAGATATGAAACTAGGAGTCTCTAAGTTTGCTTGACATCTACCAAAGCTTGCTGGGCATGAGAAGGTCTTTGCAAAGGAATTTTTTTTTTTATCATTTACTAACACACCTGCCAGTACTGTATAGGACACAGTCACAGGATCATGCTGGTCAGCGAACAACTCCTTGAGACAAATGCGGAATTCGCTGGTCTTGATGTGCTGTAAAATAATAAGCAAATCATCTAGCGTCATATATTTCGATTACAAGAACAAACAGCAATAGCTCAACGTTTAGAGACGTTCGCTTAAACACCTGTAACTGGGTCATTTTGAATTCCTATCTAAACAACAACAAAAAAAAGAACTTGGGAAACTGACCGTGAATAACAGATGGATAAATACATGGGTCGTTTCGCTGCGCGACTATGGCCGATAAAGAGACTGCATGAACAGACCTTGGTGTAATTTAGCTCATATGCGCATTTGCTACAGGGTTATCAGCTTGATGTTACTTATTTTGATTAAAGTGTGTTGTATATTAGTTAAATAATTTGAGAATACCTCAATCCATGGGGTCACGGACATGTATATTGGCTTTAAATTGTTGCCTTCTGAGTTGTGACCGGCTGCTATTAATACTATGGGTTCTTTGTCGTAATTCTTTGCAAATGGGACGTCCTAAGGACACAAAAAGAAGGCTGTTGGTATAAACTTTGAAACACCATCCATTTTCATCAATGCATGGTCATATAATTGGTGGCTGGAATGTATCTGCGCCGACTCGAAGAAACAGGTAATATTTGAGTACCAAAACACGTCTTTGTTGAAGATTTTTTTTCCGACGGCTTTGATGAACTGTCGAAAAACAAGTTCCTTTCATGGCCTCATTCCAGACCAATACGGGCAAAGTGTATACCCGTGGTCAGACCAAAACGGCGCAAAAACCCTACCCGATGGAGCGGCACATACTTATATAGCCTATATAGGGGAGTAGCCCCCCGAGGGGGTTGATCGCGGTTTCTCTCTGCTGTTCCATCTAAATAGTTACAGAGCCTTCTTCTGCTTAAAAGTAAAGTGCTTCTTACCTTGCAAAATGCACCATTGTAGCTTGTAGAAACGGAATCGTTGTTTGGAAAATCCACGTGTTTGCTCTCAGCGAAAAGGGGCCTGTGAATTTTTTCAAAGGCCATCCAACTCTAAAGAGAGGGATAGCAATCAAAAATGGATATGCTATCTCATACGTAAATCCCGTTTGGAAATAAAAATGCTATGTTCCCGAAAAACGATTTGTAAGTTGTATCCACAATACTTGTGAGATCTCATTTAACGTATTTTATGATTGATCCTATTCAGACCGGACTTTTATTGCTCCAAGTAATTTGACGATGATTCGCGCGTGTTAAATGTGGGAATATTATGAGTGGTTGGAAGTGTTGTGATTGAATCGAAAGTGATTTTATTGTGTGATTTACCGAAGGTGTTGACAGACAAAACTCAGGTATGTGGTTGAGCTCGCGTTAACAGATTACTTTGTGCCAAGCATAAAACCGCTTTGTGAGAGTTAGTTTAGATGATTTTGGCTTAGAAAGCCTATTCTGTGCTCAAAGATTGTGGCTTCTTAATCTGTTTTCGGCAGACACTTAACTATGAGCCTCAAGGTTTGGCTGACTAAAAGGTTATAATTTCTGGACTCTTCAAATGTTGTTTATTTTATCCCAAAATCCTGTTACTTCTGAGAGAGAAATTTACCGTCTGTTGCCAGCAATAAAGTTGTCAGCTAGTAACTTTTAACTGCTTTCCATTTGACTCAGATATCAGACTGATAAAATGCACTTGAAATTTCTTTAGCCACGTTTTAGCAAACTCCAGACAGATATATTTATAAAGGAGAAAATATATACCACAAAGATATCTTCATGTAGACCATCATAATTCTGTAGTTCTCGAAGACAAATGTAAAAGGACGAACTGGTTGCGTTTTCTACCCACAAACTTGCGGCATCGTGCTTAAAGTCTGCACTCATATGTTCTGCTGTAACCAAGACCGTTGGTGTAGACGCAAATTTTCCCTGTTAAAAAAAAAAAATTCATAACATGTACAGTAAGAAAGTTTAACTGGTTATCAAGTATTCACAGCAAAGATGATTGGGAGAATGGTATGTGTGAAATTTGAAATAAATAAAAATTTTACATGATGGGGACGCTCATAGGACATAGGATCGTGGTCAAGTGTCTGAACGCGACTGTCAAATTTAGCCCTAGACCGTACAAATTTCTTTCCCCTATTTTTTGTATTAAATAATGCTTTTTTTAAAGAATATCTCCCCCTTCTGACAAAAAGTGTAAAATTTGATTAAAAAACAAGGTTTAAAAATGGCCTATGAGTCAGAAAGAATTTCGCGGACAGAACTGGGCTGCCTCTTTGCAGCTCATGTCTCCAAGTCCAAGTACGATATCTTTGATTGGATAACAATGAAGTGTTTGGTACTTACAACATCAGCATAGCAAATGTTCACCTTATTGAAAAACGTAACTAAAGGTCATTATTCTTTCTGGTTTATGCAACGAAACAAGCTGCAGCTGAGAGGTAACAATAAAGTGTTATTGCCTGAGGAAGGCTGACTTTTGAGCACTGTGATCCAGTCCACCATTCTGGAATGCGCGTTTTATCCGCCACACCTCCATCAGGTGCTCCTTGGTAGGCCATCCAGTCCACCGTGGCAAATTCTTTGATAAAGCGATCATTTCTTCCTGCTGCAGTCACGCACACCTAAAGATTAAATGTAATGGGTAATGTTTATTTTATAGCGGAGCTCCGGCGCGCGAAGCGCGCCAGCGGAGCACGATGGGTAAGAAAATTTGGTAAACAATCCATCCGAGAAAATTTGGTTATGACGTAGCGTACGCCCGTACACTCTTTGCGGGGGAGGGAAGGGAATCAGGTGTCAGCCTGTCCGAGGGAGGAGTATGTTATAAATCGCGCGAAGCATTTGTGCAACCCACCGTTTTCTTGGCGGGAAATCGCGCAAGAATTGGCGTGGCTGTCGTCGCGTTCAAAAACATGTTTACTTCAACTACTTCATTGCATAAAGATTTTGTGACCGTAGTGCTCAGTTTCTAGTGAACTGTTTCGAAAAAATTGTTATGGCAACAAACAATAGCAGATTGAATTCAAACTATTTGCTTGTAAGTGAAGAGCGACGGGAAAGAGAAAGAAGGGAAAAGCATAGAGTAAGAATTAACAGGCGCGCTAGCGAAGAGGATTCAAGTGGAAAATTTATGCAGCATGTGCGACTTGTTCACTGATAGCTGAAGCTGACAGAGTTTTGCGTCATCTTGTGATGTTTTTACATGTCTTTTTGCACTGGATCTACAAAATGAAATACAGCAGCTATCAACATTCTTTTGTTATTCTTGGCTGGCTTGTTTATTGGGTTGTGGTTGAGAAATGCGCCGCACGACAAAAAGAAATCGGGAATCATCGTTTTCAAAAATAAGCTACTCTTTGTAAGCTTAGTTCGCCTTGCTGGACTATGCGAAAAGTCTTAAGCGATTCTGGCCTTACTTGATGGGTTTCCGTGCTGCACCTCGACCGGTAAGCTTGAGTAATTTTATCGCATTTTATGTGTTTTCTTTTTTCATGTTTATGCCTTCATTTTACGCACATTTGTAAGGTTTGAATCAATTTATCTGACCTAGTAAAGAAGTTGAACTTTAAAAGTCTGTAGACATTTTCTGACCGCGACTAGAAGAAAAAGTTCTGAAAAATAGTTTAGTTATCCTATTGTTTGTAAAAAGAAAACTTTGAGCGATATTCTTGCCTGGAGTTCATCTTGCAAAATAGCAAAAACGGCGAAGCGGCTTAAAACTTAAGGCTTAATTTAAATCTATTCGTGACTCAAGATTTTCAGAGACACTTTACTCTCAAAACACGTCTTCGGGAATAAAAATTGTTGACCTTGAAATGTTTCTTTGTATTACAGTTTTGTAAATTTCTTGTCTTGATTGTTTGTCAGGATCTCGTTCTTACATGATCGTTCTGCCAGTTGTTGTTTTCAGTCGTCCGTGAACGCGTTGGTCACGCTCTACGTCCAATTTTTATGCTCTGATTGATCAAAATTTGACAGGTGAGTTTATGCGGAAAATTTATGCAGCATCTTGAAACTTGTTTACTCTGACAGCTGAAGCTGACAGAGTTTTGTGTCAACTTGTGATGTTTTTAACTCTCTTTTTCTACCGGATGTACGAAATGAAATTCAGCTGCTATCAAGATTCTTCTGTTATTCATGGCTAGTTTGTTTATTAGGTTTTTGGTTAACAAATACGTCGCCTGTCAAAGTCGGAAATCCGATTTCCATGGCATCGATTCGTTTTCGTTTTTCACCCTGCTTGATTGAAAAGTTTGAAGCGATTCTGGCCATACTTGATAGCTTCCAGGAGCTGCATCTCGAATGGTAAGCCTGAGTAATTATTGTATTTGTGTTTGTTTTATTAATATATCTAATTTCATGAAGCTGAGCGCAGTTTATGAGGCTAGTTTATGCATGTCTGAATTAAGATTTGACCTAAATGATCTGACCTATAGTATGAGGTCTGATTTAAGCTTGCAGAAGTTTAAAAAGTCTTAAGTCGATTTTTTTTCACCGAAAATAGAAAGAAAAAAACGTTGCGTTTTTATTTTGGCCGTAAAAAGAAAGCTAATTTTCTCTCCTCCAGTTCATCTTTGAAAACAACAAACACCGGGAAGCCGGCTTAAAACATAAACTTAAGCTTTAAGCATAAAGACTCAGGATTCTTAGAGACACTTTAATACTTAATTGTCTTCGTGAATGAAAATTGTTGTCTCTGTAAATGTTTCACAGAATTATATTTCTTTTATTGATTCTTAGTAGTCTCTCTTGCAATTTGCCGTTAATGTTTTCAGTCGCTCATGAACATCGCATGCAGGAGTACTCAAAACGTCGCGCGTATCAAACGCTTTTTAAGTTTACACATCGTTATAAAACCATTACATAAAAAAAATAAAGACAATAAATTGTTTATTATGTTGAAGTGTAACTCTATTAATGTTCATTCAAACACTCCACAGCTTGCAACTGGCTGGCCGTTATATAGGTGATTTTGGAAAATTTTTTAGCGGTTTCGCTAAAACAGGGGCACCCAACGAGAATATAGTTCAAAACGACTTAAACATAGCATTATTAAATGTATTTTAGTAATTAAACGGTAGACATAGGCATATTTTTATCCCCTAAAAATTTTTCATCTGTTCGGATTTCCTAGCTGAAAGTCTAGTGATCCGAAAATTATAGGGATCAAAACTTACCTGGTCGAAAATTTTAGCCAGAAAATAGGCTCCCGAAAATTCTAGGTGAACTTTTTAGGGTAAAAATTAGTTAATTATGGGCAAGTATACCATTTTTTATTTGTTCGAAAATCCTAGGAGAGGCATGGAAGCAAGAAATTTTACAAGAAATGTTCCGAAAATTCTAGATCTCAAATCGTCTTCCGAACAGATATTTTTCCGAAAATTGTCGTTGGGTTCCCCTGCTAAAAGCCCACGCGTGCTTCGATCGTCCTGAATACTGAATGAGTGCAATTTATATTTGAAAATTGTGAAATACTGCATTTTGTCTGAGGTCTGTATGATAAATTAAAAACATCGCGTCATAGCACTGTTTCACCTCAGACTGTCAGATGTGATGTATAAAAAGTATAAAAAGGTTGGTTTACACGCCCCCAGATTTGGTAGCAAGATTTTGTAAAGCAAACTTGTCAAACGGAAAAAATTCTGCCGGATTTGCTTTCCAAGTATTTGTTTTCCACGCCTAATCTACTGTGATCAAGAGCCATTGTGGCCGTTAAATGTGATCGAAGATGATTGCTATTTTTTGGGTGTACATATAAAGGCCATCAACTCGATGTAAGATTTGGTGCACTCTTGAACTGTTAGCAAATTATTTTTCTCTCAAATCACTTAGCCTTAATCCCTCAAAACAAAAGTCACATGAATGTGCTCTAAAGTGAACTGATTTGTGGAATACAAGTTTATTGTTTGATTTAGATTACAAATTTATTAATGGGGGCTTCGCTTTTAGCCCTGGCTAAATCTATATATTATGGTAAGGTAATATATAGATTTAGCCAAGGTCAAAAGCGGAGCTCTCGTGGTAACTGACTTGCTGAAAAAACGTTTTCCAAGCCTGCGATCACTTGATTCTATAACTGGTCAGCTGAGAACTTAAAAAAACCGTCACCTCAATAAGTAACACACCTGAGCAAGCCATAAAGTCGTGTGACACTGGTCTGGGGATGCCCTACTTTGACAGCTTTCAATTGATTATGACATGGATGTCTAAAATCGAGTTAAACACAATTTGTATATGTTTTGGATTTACAGCTAGTAAGACATTTCACATTCGTTAACATGAAGACGCCGTCCTACGTAAGTACGCACGATTTTGTAAGGAATCAAAATTTCTTGGATGTATAGATAACCAATTTTTCTTACCCATAGTGCTCCTCTGTGCGCGCAAAACACGAAATCTTCGCTGTTAACTCGTTGTGAAAATAAAATATGTTCAAATAGTATTTTACTGGCCAGAAATATGACAGGTAAACAAGAGCTCTTGGAGATGTAAGACAAATGAGCAGAAGGTCACTAATTACTACTTGAAGTAATACACGTATTTGAATTGAAAACTTCCTATTAAAATATTCACCTCAAAATTCTCGAAGTTAACAGTTTCCACCCAGGACACAGTAGCATCATGAACAAAATTTTTCTTGCTTATGTTCCAGTGATTGGTCGTTATCTGTACGTGCACTTCTTTGTCTGGATAGAATGAAAACGGTGGAAATTTCACTAGTTCACAGGCCGTCTCTGCCCACTGTACATGTCTTTTCAGTGAAACTCGCCCAGTCTGAACAGGAAAACCTGTCGAGGAACAACAAGAAAAAGAAGATATAACATAGAAGAAAAACAAAGCTAATTAGAGCTGAAGCGATAAGAAAAAACAAACAAACAAACAACCAAACAAACAAACAACAACAGCAATAAAGTTAACATAAAGACAAATAAAGATGCATCCTACAAATACCTGATGAGGATGAGAAAAAAAAAACGTGTAAAATCCTTTCTATATGCGAGGAATTAAATCAAAAGCTGATTGTAGAATCACACAATCATATCGTGGTACTATATGATTGGCACTTTGTTGCGTTCAAAACAGTACCAAAATAAGCAAAATAGTATTTAATCGTGATTTATTTTGGACCTACAGCTTCACGGAAAATGCCATGTGCTTAAAACGGTGATTCCAAGATGGCACCCAAGATGGCCGCCAAATTGAGTGATGTCGTAAGTCATCAGCGGCGCCATATCTCATAACACTAGAGCTCTGTATGCGCTGGTTAAGATGGTTTTAAAAATCCTTATAATCCGCTCTCTTACCTGTACAACTACCGGGATGATAGAGAGTGTGGTTACTCTTGCGCCTGCAAATGTCCAGCAGACAAAAGCACTTGTTCTTAAATGTTGTCGAGTTGGACGAACACACTGGCTCCTCGTACGACGGGCAGTTGTCATCACAAACACAACGGGCATCAAATGCAGAGAAAGCTTTGCAGATGGCATGGTAATCGCAAGTAACGTTTGTGCATGGGTCTATATCTTTAGGGCAAAAAAAAACAAAACAAGAAAATCAGCACTTGTATGAATAGCAAATTGACCTGACGTCCTACATCCTTTGAGAGAGCAACTGCTTTCAATTTTTTAAAATTTTTCTTTGTTTTTCCTCTGAAGACAATTGATGGCAAAAAAAGATACGAAATGGGGAGTTACTTTTTTTACAATACGATGCTGTCCTTATTTGAACGTCATTTTTTTACAACTTCTTTCTTCGAGATTTGATCACAGGTTTTTACAGTGCCAATTGCCTGACTTTATTCGTATTCGAATTCATTTCTTCAATTCGACGTTTGACCCAACGTCGAAATGCCTTGATAATAGGACGAACCGGTATGAGAGACAAATCTTTGAATTTAAAGAATAAGCAAATATAAGAGTAATGTACCTCCCACTATAGCATAGTCCACTGTAACTGGATCGTGAGACTTGCTCATTCCCTGACTGTCTTTGATGCACACTTTGAAAGACAAACGAGTGATCTCCTGGAAAATAACATCAGATATACCAATAAATAAAAAGCTTATATTGACTTGTTAGCTTTCAGACAGGGGCGTCCAGTTAAGGCAATAGGGAGCTTACGAATTGACGACTTTCGCACGACGACGCCGTTGGGCCACGTCATAGTCCTGCGTCGCCGTCATCTAGAAATTTGAATTTACGATTTTAAGTAAAGACGACGACGTTGGTACGCTTGCTGCAAATTTTCCCGCCGTTTCTGAAGTTTGTTTTTTATCACTTCATGATCATAAGCCGGGTTGTTCAAACCAAAATGCCTAACTTCAGAGAAACAAGAGCTTGTATTGCTTACGCTTATCGAAACAACTTTTTAAAAGAACAAGAATTTGTACTTTTATACGATGCTCATAAGTCAAAAAACCCAGAGTTTCCGTATTGGAACTACGAAAGGTTCGATTTGGACGAGAAAACAAACGACGAATGCAAGGTTGAGTTTCGTTTCTACAGAGATGACATTTATAAACTTGCGGAACAGCTGCAGTTACCTGACGAGATAACCACTTACAATGGTTTAGTAGTACCTTCGGTACCTGCATTATGCATGTATCTTAAGCGCTATGCCTACCCTTGCCGATACGGAGATTTGGTTTACCATTTTGCCAGACCGGTTCCTGAGATTTCTATCATAAATAACCACATAATGGACTTGATTTATGAGCGCTGGCATCATCTGCTTACAAGGTATAATCATGATTTGTTATCCCCTCCCAAGCTTCGCCAGTATGCTGATGCTATCCAACAAGCAGGAGCTGCCCTAGATAACTGCTGGGGATTCATAGATGGAACTGTACGTCCAGTTTGTAGGCCTAACGAAAACCAGCGATCCATCTACAATGGCCATAAACGTGTCCACTCCATTAAGTTTCAGGCTGTCGCTTTGCCTAATGGATTAGTGGGGAATCTATTTGGCCCAGTTGAGGGAAGACGCCATGACAGTTTCATGCTAGCTGCCTCCGGATTCTTGCAGGAACTGCAAAGGTTTTCTAACTGCCCCGTAACTGGCCTTCCCCTCTGCGTGTACGGTGACCCCGCCTATCCGATACGTGCACACCTACAAAGGCCCTATAAAGGCGCAGTCCTGACCCCAGCTCAACAAGATTTTAACACCTCAATGAGCACAGTTCGCTCTTCCGTAGAGTGGATATTCGGGGATATTGCCAATTATTTTAAGTTCTTAGATTTTAAAAAGAATCTGAAAATCGGATTGAGTGTTGTAGGAAAGATGTATGTAACATGTGCGTTAATGCAGAATGCACGAAACATTTTATACGGTTCTGTTACGTCAGAGTATTTTGGTGTTAATCCGCCAACTCTAGAGGAATACTTCATTTGATATAATGTGCTTAAGATACACTTGTAATACTCCAGTTATACAACATAAACACTCTAGTCGCTTGAAGGTTTAATTTGAAATGCAATAGAACTCAAGTTCAAAAAAGAACACATGTAAAGCCAATAGTAGTGTTAACACGCGTGCCAGAACATCTACGTGCAATAAAGTGATGAAAATCAACATCGAATGCTAAGGTTGCTTGTTCATGCTATAATATTACAAAACCAAAAACAACAACGAAAAAATAAGTTGCGTGTTTACAAGAAAACTGAACAATAACTACTCCGATCATAACTACGGTCCCTTTTTTAAGAGTTCAATGACTGCTTGTGTTTGCGCTTGCTGGCTGTTCAGCATCATTTGCATCATATGCATAAACTGCTGTTGCTGCTGTTGCTGTTGCTGCACTTGTAACTGTTGCTGGTCCCGTAGCTGAGTGAACAATGCTTGCTGGGTAGCAGCTGTAGCTTCGTCTTGCCTCCTCTTCATGTCCAGCTCATCTCGCCTTAACTGAGAGTCCCTCTCCGCTGCCTCCCTTAGATAGTCAAGGGTGTCACCACTTTTTTGGCGCTTTTTTCGTGGTTCATCTTTGCCATTTCTCTTCTTAGTCTGAGCTAGCCTCTCCATGGCTCTCTCCCTCATCTCCTCGCCTGCTGCTTTATCTTG